CCCCCCCCCCCCCCCCCCCCCCCCCCCCTCCTCCCCCCTCCCCTCTGCGCTTTAGGGCTTCATGTTAGAGAGGAGCAGAGCCTCATCCCTAACCACGTCTTCACCCAAGCAATTTACCAATGGCGTCACAGAAAGAGTGAAAAAACGAAAAAAAAGTAATATGGCTCACACTTTGGTATGTCTATAGCTTGGAGTTTCGAGCACACAGTACAGGAATTCATAGCGAGCCAAACAGTCTTTGGAGCAAATCACCTGCAAAACCCGGCATCTAAAGGGCTCAGTCGTGGGAGATAGTACGGCCAGAATTTTATGAAGGAACTGTAAAAAGTGAAGTAGGTTGTTCCCGCAGCGATCAAATGACGCCGAATAAGTTGTGTGGATTACGGTTCAAGCCGGCGTTGTAGGAACTATATCGTTACGGATACGGTGGATACTATCACCTTTGGTATCAGAAATTACTTAGGTTCCGGCTTCTCATTCAGAATATTTTCGCCATGTAGCCCACCGCCCTAACGTTGTTATCATTTCGATGTGTGCTTCTTGGCAGTCATATCACACAATCGTATTTATTGCTTTGAATGTTTCTTTTATCACTTGTTATTGCCGACGGTTCATTTACTCTGAATACGTTCTCTGAGCCGAAATACTCTACCTAATTCCATAAGAAATTGGAAACTACTGTCTGTTCTTCACGTATTCACTCTGTTCTCCCATTACTCTTCAAGGAGAACTGGTACAATTATGTACCGACTTACCCGAATGGCTTCTTTTTTGACTTGCGAGTACCATTATGAAGTTGTTGTTGTGCATTTACGCATGTAGTTAGTTGTTTTTTCCGTTTGCGTGAGTGTGAACAGCCTGTCGTAAATCTTTCGTCTAACGCGACCACTGAATAGCTCTCCGAAACCACTTATTCGTCACATGTCGACACTGGCGTTCCCCGATAAACTGTGCCTTTCAGATGTGGGATGGACTGTAACGATACTTGAACTCGGAAAAACTATGGCAGCTTCTTCTCTCTTCGATAACTTCATTACTGCATCAACATTTCGCTCAATACAAAATTCTTTCTATCAACTATGCGTAACACTTGACATCGACCCTTCAGATGCCATCAACGTATACCCAAAGTATGTTCTACATTTTTCTTATGCATGGAAGAGTGAGTCTATTTCTTCGGCTCCTTTTTTCCCCCTGAAAGAGCTATTTTTGTGGAATCTCCCATACAGGCTACTGTATGCACAAAAAACGGTTATTTGGCTGCACAGATTTTTTCCACCAAGTGCAGCTGTGCACTCCTAACAGTGTTGCACTATTCTTTTGCTGATTTTTCTGTTTTTTCGGGAGACTTTCCTTTCATTTTTTTGAGTCTGCGTTCAGTCTTTGGGTAGGTGCATAATCGACAATCGGCGTACGCTGGTGACGCCTCAACCTTCGCAGTCAAATTATCGGTATTGATCCAGCGCAGGCTGGGCGCCCACTATCGGGCGTCGGCAATATGCCAACGCAAAGTCTGAATGTAATGACGTCTCCACACTGGAGTTGCTGCTACTGTAGCAACAGTATTACTGGAGAGGGGAAGTAGTGTGGGTCAATAATCATGTTTTAGCTGCTGGTTTCTTCTCGTGGCTTCTTTACATTTACTCTTTATATGGCAGTAAGGTGATATACCAACTGTAGCACCATACTTATCCGAAATCGATTGAGCCATTGAATTCGTGATTCTGCTAGCGATAAGTTTCGATTTTTTCTACTCAAGCAACCCTTAGTTTCCACGCAAACGGACCAACAAGACGTGGATTATGGGTATGTCATTCCGTCCCCGATTTTGTGGTGATGAACCCGCCAAGGAGCAAAAACTGCCTCTAATAGGACTAAGGGTTCACTCTGTATCGTAATCCAATACGAAGTATTATGATAGTTCAAGCAGATCGTTACCACTCGACAAGGTAAAAACTGCATTTGCGGCCAGTTTAGTAGATGCTGTCGTTGTATTGTGTCCCATTTGGGAAGGGAGAAGCTCCATACTCAACCTGATATGAATGTTATGATGACACTTTTATGAAAACGTGACTGCTAACAAAGGTAGTAAACATCTGCCCACGATATCAGTTGCATCCTTATCTTGCTTTTGTCTGGTAAACCCACACAAACTCCCCACGAGGTGCTGGCGTCGCAGCCAGAGGTGTCTGAAGTAGATGTCTCTAAGAATGTGTGCAATAAAGGATTTTATCGGAAAGTGCAACCGTTGACATGATGGAGATTTCATGGGAGGTCTGTGCTATCAGTCTAATTTGGCGATTTATGTCATCACGCATTTTTGTTGCGTTGGGAGATTTGCAGGCACTGAATGGGGCAAAACACTCGCTCTTGGACAGATTCATGTGGGGAGGGTGCTATTGGCTTTGATAAGAGACTGAAAAAGAAACTGAAACGAAAATCGGAAACCTATCTGCGATATGGCCGAAGTCGTTAAACGAATAATGGGGAGCGGGAGTCGTGACTCGTTTTTTTTTTTGGTAAAGTCGTGTGCCGTTGCCACTGACAATGGGAAGCGAAGTGAGTGAGGCAGTGGCATTTCTGCACTGCAGCATGCACTTGCACTTTTTGGTAATGCGTTCCGTTCGCATTTTTTACCTATCCCATGTCCTTTCAGGCTTCGATTATTAAATGACTGGAAAGCGCAAAAGCTCTGGAAATTGTTGGACAAAAAATGGGAACTGGCTGAATATAAGAAACAAAAAGCTGGTGAACTGCTCAATGTTCTCGTTATAGGAGCAGGTCCGTTCTTGCAAGGATTAGGCGACCGTTTATATTGCAGTGCACGTTAGCGTTTTTAGGGCCATGCGGTTTACGATCGGCTATTGAATGTGCTTTGCTGGGATGTCGAGTGGTTCTTGTGGAGCAACGAGATCGCTTCAGCCGCAATAACGTTTTGCATCTTTGGGAATTCGTTATTCAAGACTTGAAGTCACTAGGAGCCAAAATCTTCTATCCTAAATTCTGCACCGGTAGCATAGAACATATTAGTGAGTATTCTCGTTTTTGCTAAAAGCTGATTACGGTGTGTTCTTTTATGTCATTTTTCTAGGCATACGTCAACTGCAGTGTATACTTTTGAAGGCAGCACTTTGTTTCGGTGTTCAGATTCATGATTCCGTTACATTTGTGCAACTACTTTTTCCCAAGAAAATTCATAATACTGGTAAGAACAATTCCTTCCTACCCTTTTCCCATTCCAGTGGCCTTCGTACATAAGTTCTCTCAGGTAGCCATTGGTGACTATACTCAACAATTGAGCTGAATGTGTAGTGTTTTGCAGTTACGGGTTTTCGAGCTAGCATAGAGCCGAAAGGACATATCCTTGCTGAGTACGATATTGACGTCCTTATAGGAGCTGATGGAAAGCGAAATACTATACCAGGTGTGTTTCTTTTAGAATTTCTGTCCCACGCTCATTTGCANGTGTTCAGATTCATGATTCCGTTACATTTGTGCAACTACTTTTTCCCAAGAAAATTCACAATACTGGTGAGAGCGATTCCTTCCTACTCTTTTCGTATTCCAGTGCCCTTCGTACACAAGTTCTGTCAAGTAGCCATTAGTGACTATACTCAACAATTGAGCTGAATGTGTAGTGATTTGCAGTTACGGGTTTTCGAGCTAGCATAGAGCCGAAAGGACATATCCTTGCTGACTACGATATTGACGTCCTTATAGGAGCTGATGGGAAGCGAAATACTATACCAGGTGTGTTTCTTTTAGAATTTCTGTCCCACGCTCATTTGCATTTGAAAGAACCGGTTTATGTTAAAAGGACTTGTCTGTATCATGTCAGCTAGTTGCATTTATCTCTCCCTGCTTCTTTTCAAGTTTCATATTCCCTTTCCATAAAGAAGTGCGAAGCCGCCGATAAGAGTAACGACCGAGAGTCACACTACCGTGCTTTCTTACATTTGGGCTAATCTTGATTGAATTTGGTCGCGCCTTTCGCACTTGTTCGGATTGAAGGGATTGTATTGCACTGGGGAGGTAGAAAGTGACCTAAGAGCGACACAATTCCTGAACGACTTCCCGAAAACGCTCAGAGTCCTGGGAAGTTTCCAACCTCATCGCGATGTGCGCTATTCACGCTTGATGGAGAAGTCTTTTGTAAGATTTTGAAATAAATTGCCCTCCTACCAAATAGTCTTCCTAGTTCATCTGAGAGTGTAAGAAGATCAAATCCTCACAAAACTATCAACCCAAGGGCTGTTGATCAAGCACAACTTTAGTAGAGGAGACTTATGGCGTAAACACTATAATCTGTATCTTTTTATAGGATTCCCCCGCGAGGAGATGCGTGGGAAATTAGCTATTGGAATAACAGCTAATTTCGTTAACAACAAGACGCCTGCCGAGGAGAGGGTTCCCGAAATAAGGTATAACCAGACATTTTCTGTTTTAGGGGATTGATTGGAATGTAGATTTATGAGAGACACTATTATTTTTTAGTGGTGTTGCGTACATCTTCAACCAAGCATTCTTCAAAGAAATGTACGCTAAAACGGGAGTCGACCTAGAGAATATCGTTTACTATAAGGTAGGTATCATAAGAATAGAGTTGGGGAGCAGTAGAACTTTGTCGAGCAGAATTTAGGACGACACTCATTATTTTGTAATGTGCGCAAAGAAACAAAGCCTATTGGATATGGGAGTCATCCTCCAGGTAAACCTTGCTAATGGACGTGTACTGGTGCATAGTTAGACACCGGATTCAGTAGCCATAAATTCTCGATTGCAGGATAATGATGATGTATCTAAGTTACTATCCAGCGAAAACGTTGACCAAGAGGCGTTGTGTCGTTATGCACAGGCTGCTGCCGATTTCGCCACAAATGGTTCGTCTCAGCTATTTCTATTCATAACGTCTCATACCATGCCTACCATGTTTTTCTATCTCCTTGTTTCTGTTTTGGAGAAACTTCAGTCAAACTTACAAGTTCGTATGGCGTTCGAACTGCTTGTTACGATTTTAGGTCGTAGAATGTGGGGTTGTAATGACAATAACTTGAGGCTGGAAAATAGAAAAGGGCAATTCCTAAGCGAAGAACAACTTGGCTTCTTGTATGTTAGAAAGCTTGTCGCTGCAGTGATCCACTTAGAAAGCGGTTTATATTTTCGATGATGGCCGTCATGCCCATATCGCCCGTAACAAACTGGCGATGAAAAAAAAATGTTACACACGCATGTCGTTCTTCAACAGCAGGTTGAAAGCGTGGACTGAGAGAATGGGACGGTATCAAAGGTTTAAAATTGGTCGTGGATGTAGCTGGCAAAGTCTTATCATCCGTTTATCAAGCAGCGTTTCCATCTCCACCAAGAACGGGTTTAATGAGTAGATTGTAGTTCAATGCGATTCTAACTGATGGTCACTATAGTAGCATAGTTACCACATTTGTAGGAGTTTGATCTCTCTGCTTCTTTAAGAGGCAAAGTTATGGATTTCATGACAAGCAGACAGATACACGCATATTTATGTGCATACATACATAAACAGTTGTGTATAGTGTGCTATTAGCATGTTTCCTTTATGCAAAACTGCATCGTTAAACATCTGGAGACCAAAGTCGTAGACGGAGACAGTGTAAAACTGACGATTGAATGCTAAAAATGGTTGATGGGAAATCCAAAGGAAAAGTAGTGAAGGGCTCATAGTTGTTTTTGCTGGAGTCGAAATGAAATAAGCATTGCTCCCAAGGTAACGCCTTTTTTTAGGAAAATTACCTGCCTTGAATTTTGCCAAAAATCATCGTGGAAATGAAGACGTAGCCATGTTTGACTTCACCAGCCTCTATTCATCCAAATGCTCCGTTCGTTTGGTAGAGCGAATGAACAAATGTCTTCTTATGGGTATTGTCGGTGATTCGTTGCATGAGGTGAGTTCCGATTCGCTTAGTTGCCCATGAGCCCTTCTTTTCATCAGCAAGTTTTGATTTATTTGTTCAAAGATTAGTTGAGCTAGCTCTGCCATCCTCCGATGTTTCTCGGTTCAAACGTCACTTGAGAGTGATCACCTTAAAAAATACAATTTTTGCAGCCGTTCTGGCCAACTGGATCGGGCTGTGCTCGCGGATTTCTGGGAGTCCTTGATACGGCATGGTTGATTAGAGAGTACGGATTAAATAAGAGAGGTTTGTTAGTTTTTAGTTTTTAGTTTCTTTTCAACGTTGTATCATTTCCAGGTCCGCTTGAAATGATAGCAGAGCGGGAGAGTATTTATCGACTGTTGGCTCAGGTCACTAAGGATAACATGAATAAAGCCATGAACAAGGTTCTTATCTTTTTCTGATTTTATCTCTGTGATTTTTTCTCAATGACTTGAGGATTTCAGTACACAATTGATCCGAGGACACGGTACGTGTCTTTGGAATCAACTCTACAGCCCGAGGATGTTGTTCAAATTGTGAGCTCTGATAATCCCAGATTAGGTAAGATGCTGAAAAGTTGGCAACCACCTCAGCTTTAACCAAATGCTGAACAATTTGACAGCTGTACACAAAAGGATTGCTGGGCGTGTTTTTCCTGAATCGTTTAATAGTTGTTTATGAGTGTTTCATTAATTTAGTTCACTATGACGTCTTTTATTTCTTCAAACTACCGGTTTGCCCACTCTTGCAGGCGTTGTTTCGGGGTTTTAAAACGGTAGTGATTTGTTCTACAACTTTTGTTACTTTTAGCACCCATTGGACAACCTCTGAAGCTGAATAATAACCGTTCCGTGCACTTAAACCCATCTCTCAGAACGTACTCACTATGGAAGTTTTGTCATCAAGCTCTTTCACCATATAAATTGAAAATGTTCGATATGGATATGTGGTTGGTATTTTACTTTCTTTTTTCCGTTTACTTTTATGATATATTTTCACTTTTCTTCCAGTTGGAATGATGGCCGAGCCCTTGCAGCATTGATCGCCAAGTTTAGGCCAGAAGTGATTGACTATTTTTCTGTTATCAGTTCAGAAGATACCGAGGACAGGTTGCAGGTCAGAACATAATATGCATTTTTTTTAATTTGCATTCTAATGAATTGTTTAGGTTGTGTTCAAACTAGTGGAGGAATCAATGGGAGTGCCTCCTCCTTGTACACCATCAGAATGGCACTTTTTGAAGGTGCAGGCAAAAGTCGACTACATTGGAGATATAGTTGACGTCATAAGGTGAGTTAAGCAACATGAATAAAACTACAGGAAGGCCTGTAGGACAGGGGTATATGAACCCCCTGTCCTACAGGCCTTCCTGTCAAGAATTTTTCTGTTTGATCATTTCGTTAATTTTGTTTCTCTCACCTCTTAATCTCTCTTGTAATGCAGAACCAGCGGCTCGAGCTTTCCTTTTTAGCGCGCCTTTTGAGCGCATTCAATANATAAGTAAATAAATAAATAAATGAATATCTCGAGTTAGACCAACGTCTCATTCTATTTTTTCATTTTTGTTACGCGTTTGGAGACCAGCATTGTGACAGGAGGTTAGGCAGTCGAAGTTTTACTAGGAATTCGATCGGAATGCTTTTTTTTCACTTACTGCTGTCTTGATCTCTTCTAGTTGAGCGAAGCGCGCTAATGCGTTCATCACCTGTCGGAGATTCTTTATCTAAAATCCCTCTCATAAGAGCACAAACTTTGCTCCCTACATCGCAACGATGTATTCACGACATTTCTTCTCACTGAATTTCTCTTAGTTTTCACTCTGGAAGTTACGCATTGAGAGAACATTTTCCAATAACGAGTTCTTTGAAGTACCTAGGCATCAAGAACAAGTGTATTGAAATTTCGGGTAAATTTAACTATAGGTAACTATGCATTAGAGATGTAACAGAATGGAAGTCAATCAGCGGAATGTTAATTGAATTAGAATAAGATGAGTCCTCTCGTTTGAACGTTCTGAGGCTGCTTTGCGGGTATATTGCTTGATCGATGACACTATCCGAATTTTTTCCCGGAGATTTCATTTTCCTGTCACGCAAGTTACACAATTATAGGCATTACAAACCAATAACGAGTGGCAATGATTTGTCGATATCAACCGATGTCAATAGGGGAGCTTTCCCACCCTGCCTCCTCTATTTACTGAAGGTTTTACCGTCCTGCAACTAAAAAGAACCAAATTATGTCCAGCTCGCGAACAGAATGAGGGATTTCCAGAATATTGGAATTGGTTAGGATATCGATGTAAACCGTAACACTGGACTTCGTATTTCATACACTCTCTTCACCACGCATTCGTGACATTTCACCCTTCTCAAAGCTGTCTACATTAGTTTTTGCTGACTAACCCCCAGAACGTCATGTCCTGCTCCTGTCCTCACATTATAGCCGTAATAACATGCGGTGAACTTCATATTTCTAGTTTTCGCGCGTGATAGGTGACCCTCTCATCTTGACACTCCCCTGTCCGCAAGGTGGTCGTTTGGCGCGGCTCTTCGAAGTCACTTTGACATTGGGGCGCATCGACCTCAATTGACAGCTGTGTAGGCGAACGACTAAATCATCCAGCCTCTCGATTAATAGTCAACCTTTAGCTTTATTAAATGTGCTTTACACCTGGTTTTAATGCGCGGCCACCCTGATTTAGTTTGGAGACTCAAAAGTCAATGAACTTCCTATACTCATTAGAGTTAGTTGATATGAATTACATTGAATTCATGTTTGAGAACGTTAAGCTCATTCTTTCTTTTCAGTGACGTCTTAAAAGCATGCTTGTCCTGTCATCCATGAGGTCGTAAATATTAACGAAACCGACGTTATCATTTTGAAGCGTTTTTGCATGAAAGAAACGTGTTTAGGGCTTTCTCTTCTAGTAAGAAGGGTTTGCGGGAGTAGAGAAAGTACGTCAACGTATAAAAGATAAACTCATAACATCACCACGTTCATGGTGATGAGCACGAGAATGTATAATATATTGAAGACAACCAGTCTAGGTTCTACACTAAGTGCAACTTACCCACCCATAAATTACTTTCTGTCCGATGACCACGCTTGAGCGCAGTCTAGATTAGTTTGCTTTCACCTGTTCTGCTGCATGGTGCAGAGTTTACATCCCTGAGAATTTGATTTTTGAAATAGCCCTTTGTTACTCCATTAAAATGTCGGTTACAGATGCGACAAAGATCGTTTCAAATGTCAAGTGGTCACGCCACGATCTCATGTCGTTCAAAAAAGAAGGCAACAGCCGGTAGGTTTTCTATGATTTACTTCGAGTGAACCTTAGAAATTCGCTGATTCTGGTCATAAAAAACTAGGCTGAGAAATGCCGATCGCAGTTCAGCGCTTGGTGTCCATTTGCACGCCAGGGCCCCAATGCAGAAATTGCATGCAAGGTACGGCTGTCTATTGAGCAAGTGGTTACCGCTTGCAAAGTACTAGCTAGGAACCGCTAAAAAGCTCAGCTTTTTTCAAACTCTGTTCGCCTTTCCCCATGTTTCATATTGTTATTTNTCGCTTGTTGCTTTCCCTTTGATCTTCACGAAATTCCCTCTGTTGGCGGGGTTGCTATTCTACCTCGGGTGTGGTTTGAGCCAAATGCTCATTGAATTGGGTCCATGCAGCTGCACATGTTTTAAAGTTGCTTCATTTTTTCGCTTTATTGTTACGTTTTTGTAATTTTAAATTTTAAATCAAAGAACGAAAGGTGGGCTAGTTTCGACGTGAAGAACACGGTGGAGCCGTTTGCCGTATACATAGACTGGTCACGCAGCTGTTGCTTTGAAAGCGGTGACGCTATTGATGTTCTGCCTTTATGCACACATGCTCAGCTTGACAATGCCCTTCATCCTTCGTTTGGTAAAGCTTTTTGATATCTAAAGTTTTTCCAGATTTGCGGTACCAATCCAAAGAGGTCGGAACCTATCAAGAGGCTAGCGGACAATTTGCTGGGTTGTTCCTCTTTCACCAATACTAGCGTGATCTCGGAAACAAAAAATGTTGGTCTGCTTTTAGTTATGATTGTGAAACTCGTTATTATCCTAAATTGAGATTTCCAGGTGCAAAAGATTGTTCTTGGTAATGTTGGCAACGAACGAGCTCTCGACCTACATACAGCGAAAGACAAAGTGAGTCCTCATTTTTCAGGACCACAATTAGATCCAGAGTATTTGCAGGCGGAACCCATTACCCAGAAAAATGAGGAAATAGTTAGTAAGGACAGGAAAGCAGGTCAATCATAAAGTTTCATAGTTCTGTTGAGGTGGTGAAAAAGTACAATATTGGAAATTACATCTTCTTCTATAATACTTACGGAAGCTACTTCTTCTCAGCTAATACTTACGAGAACTGCTTGTGTAAAACGTGAGGCAGATAGAGATTATAAAAATTTTCTCTGAATTCCCTGATAAAATGAGAGTTTTGAATCATGAATTTCGCTTAGTTTTTGCTACTATAGTCCTGTTTTGCTTAGCAAGGTCGAAATAAAAAAGGTAACGTTTCTGTCATGGTTATTCTCATTTTAGTATCTGTTTATGCATTCTGTTATTTTCCTGAATCTGTAGTTGTGTTTTTGGCCTATAAGTTCTCTACAAGCCAGTTGTTTCACATGTCCTTTCTTTTTTACTCCCTGATGTGTCTGTTCCAATAAACCGGCCACAGCACGATAGGGAGTTGGATGGCAAGGACTTCCATCAATCAAGGATTATATTTCCCTTTAATATTGTGCCACCTCTCTTAGGTACAAAGTAGGATAAGGGTGATAAGTTTGAAAACTATGTAAAGTTGTGAAAAGAAAGGGTTTCGCTGACTTCAAATTTTATGAAAAGTTAAGGTACCCAAACTCATCACTGACAGTGCTGACTGAATGTTGAAAATATTTCGGAAGCACTACACTTTGACAAAGATTTGTTGGAGAGAAACTGCAGAAAAGAGAAGACTTATTATATTTCAGAACGTCGAATCTATCCCACCCATATCTCCAACGAAAAAACAAATTT